TCTGTAGGACGGCAGTAAGCAGAGGTCTGGGTGGAGGATGTTCCTGATCGCCGTTTTGCGTCTATTCAGTTCACTTTCTCCTACTTCCTGTACCCGGTTTCCTGTCTAACCTTCAGTACAAATTTTACAAAAATATAAATGTGCAAATATGAAACATACAGGTCAATATCACCTTGATATTAGCTGAACTGTCAATACCCCAAAACATATTCTTAGATAGAAATACCTAATTTGTTGTTATTTAGACACAATTAACACTTATAGTTTCATGTCTTGTTACATAAGAATAAATCATATTTGTTAAGTGTTATTATGGAATAATTACTATTCTTGTGGTACTGCTGCCTTATTAGGCCCATATTGAGCAGAGCATATTAAGACCAAAACTCATGTACAACAGTGTCCTTACTTGCAATAAATAAGCACTAATCAGAGGGTTATTGAGGAAAAACTCTCAACTAATGGCCTATTACTTGTAGAATACGGTCATGTAGAATAAGGCATTAATACGTTTGTATCTTCTTGGTCGAATGCACTTATTGTGAATCGCTTTGGATAAAAGCGTCAGCTAAATGTAATGTAATAAGTGTTTTATAATGACTAATAAAGAGCCAATATACTGCTAATATGCATGGTAATTAACAACTATTGATGGTGAATTTGTGTACCTTAATATAAAGTGTTACCGGATTTTAATAAGAGACAGAAAAACACAGAGGAGAAGGGAAGAGCTGAGAGAATAAAAGGCAGAAAGACTAAGGACAACGCTAGCTGAATGTTCATGGTATCAGTCAGTAGGAGGAAAAGGCTTTACGGCCATGTCGGAGCGCCTTTATTTAAAAGCCAAATTTCTCAGTAAACATTTTTTGGAAGGTCAAAGCTGTTACACTGTAACAAAACAGATATAGGAAAAAATGGTTGCAGACACAATCTGGCTTTGTTTACCATGTAATAACTTATGTAAGTTATGTTTAAAATAAGTATTACCTAGAGCCACCGCAGAACTTGCGGGCATTTTGACATGACAGGTGAACATAAAGAAGGCTGAATTCAGAGGGACGTGAAGATGTGTTTCCATGAAAGCACATGAACTAACAAACACAGCACCTCAAGGAACCACTAGTGTCATTACCTTAGCAACACATGCCATCTTATCAAAATGTACTTTATTAATTAAGTATGACCACTGTTTCAAGACTACGGAAATATGCTGTGCTTTTCACAAATGTGTGTCTACAGAAACATCAGCTCCATGCTGCACTGCAAATCCACACAAAGACAGGAAAACAGAAGGACATCACTCAGAGGCTGACCTGGGCAACCTCATATTCAGCATCATTCTGCTGGGCCATCATTTTAACATCCAGCTTCTACTGTTCATGGTCCAGGTCGGCTTTAGTGAGGCTGCTGATAAGAGTCCACACAAACCGTGAAGGACAGCGCAGAAAAACTCTTCAATGACACATGACTTTGGTAGAATATTGTTCAGAAATGTCTTTGAGTCCATGAATGAATTACTGAATGAAGGGAAAACTGATGATCTTTCATTGCTCCACAGTAAACACTGTTCACATGAAAAATCTCCCTCTTAATTAACATTCCATTTAAAGCAACTCTCAAGACGTTTTTAGGGACATTGAAGAAAGCTGTTACGATTCATGGACTCATGTGATCAATTGTGAGAAAATACTCCATCAAAGTGAAATATGTCTTTCAAAGTGTCAAGAGTTCACACCACGACCAACTAACCAACCTGGGTCAGTGAGGGAGGGGTGTGGCTGTGTCCCTCCATCGGACAGACAGCCATTCAGCCCCCGCTGCTGGTCCTCCCATGTCACTTCTACAGCAAGACACGCACACACATTCAGATACACACACACACACACACATTGGATTGAACGCTACAGGAACCTAATGGATCTTGGATTATCATAGGTTTGTAGAATCATGGACAAAAAAAAACATACGGTAAAATGAACATAAAACCTTTTAAAGGATATTTTATAGTTACAACAGAGGGCTATGTAAGAATTGGTAACAGAAAAAAACCTCTTTGCCAGTTAAGCACTGAAATCATGGACAGCTCCTCGTCAAAGATAATGAGTTTTGCTCCATCTGCTGGCCAGCGGAGGTAACAGTCTATGAGGTTCTAAATTAGACCCTGCAATACCTCCATAGCTTAAAGGGAAATGCACAGAATTCTGGAAAAACTGCCATTAATTCACAAGTGTAGTAATTAATTAAATAATTGCACAAGTTATGAATGACTGAAACTGCTTAAGGCAGTATTGTACAGTGTCCAATAATCAAATTAATCAAAATAATTGGTGATGTCACAGAGAGCCCTTCCTTTGCGAGGTGGAGTTGAGCAGAATGAATATCTATCAAAGTTAAGGGCAGATTATGGCCGGAGTGGAGCCGGAGCGGGACAGAGCCGCAGAGATCACAGCGACAGCACTCTGTACACGTTAACATCAGATTCAACTGCATACAACTCCTCATCATCACAGCAAATCAGCTCAGAAGCAACTAACCACACTCAGGAGATATAGTAGTAGAAATGGATAAAAGGGAAGTTTGACTACATAAATGTGCTTTAGCAAACAAGAAGGAAGAGCCACCAAGAGAAGTGGAGAATCACAGATGCTAGTGAATGTCACACATGAATTGTTGTGATTGTTGATCGAGAAAGCCGACACAGCAAAGTCACGCCGTCACACTGTTCAGAGGACTTGCCTTTCCTCCCGTTTACTGGCGGGCCCTGGGGTTTTTCCTCACAGTCTGCTGCTAGTGGAGGGACAGATGGAGGCTCGTGAAATGGTGGCACTTTGAAACCCTACACTGGTGCCGTAAGTCACATTAATATGGCATCTTATACTGTATGTGCTCAAGCACAAGAAACACACAGAAAACGTACTCACTTAGGCCTGTCATCATGATTTGGTTATCAACTTATCTTTCACGTTTCAGTCTGGGATCATTTTTGGTTTAAGCCATGAATGAGAAACAAAAGTGCTTTTGTTGTTGGTACTTATATCTGCCCTTAAGATGATGTGAATTCTTGGGAATAAATTACTCTTGACGGTATTCCAAATTGTCCAAAAAAAGATGTAATAGCGAATAGCCTATTACACAAACATGGTATGAGCTTTTTTGTTATTAATGTAGTACAAGGTGTGGTTAATGGCACGGTGCCATTTTTGTATGCAACCCCAAAACCTTCCTTTAGCAGCATTTAGCCTGCAGAGTATCACTCACTTCAACTTGGAAATGTGGCTTTTTAGAAACCACTTTGTTTTTAGCATCCACTCAGTCAGGCAGTGTTGAGTAATACAGCCGTGCCACACAGTCAGAGGACAGGAGCGCGCCACATAAACAGATGGGAAAGTAGGAAGTGGAAACTGTGGGGAACTCCAGCTCCTGCCAACAGTCGGGCCGTTCATTCAAGCTTGTGGATGAATGTACTGCGCTTCAACACATGCTGTACCTTACTCTCATCCAGAAACAAAACAAGCTCCTAACTCTTCAAATATCTTAAGCTTATAACATATCCATTCCGAATAAACAGCATCACATTTTTTTTTTTAAATAATAAGAAAAACACATTGGTTTAAAGGCTGTTTAAACACACCTGGGCCACCGTTTTGGGGTTGAGGTGCCACACACTCCTCCCCTGCTCCGTCTTTGGAGTTGCCACAAAGGAACAGATATCAAACAAGACAGTTAGGTATGTGTATGAGGTACGAAAAAACTCTGAAGCACAGCAACAAGGCAAAACAATACCAGGTCTATCAACAGTACAGCCCTTCTCTGTGAGCAGCAATAACCCGGATCCAGTTCACACACACACACACACACACACACACACACACACACACACACACACACACACACACACACACACACACACACACACACACACACACACACACACACACACACACACACACACACACACACACACACACACACACACACACACACACACACACACACACACACACACACACACACACACCAGACATTAGCATTACATAAGCTGAGTGCCATACGGCTCTGTGGGAGCTACAGCACAAGGTCAGATCAATACCTCCCCCCACTGCCCACACACTGTCACTGTCCTCAGAGCTACAGCAGAGAGAGGGAAAGAGATACAAACACAAAGAAGGAAAGGAGAGCGTAGGGATAAAGTCCCTGACAAAGAGAAAAAAGGAAATTGGGGCAAGAGTGAAGAAGAAAAGGAGACACAAAGAAGCGACAGAGAGGTCCAGACAGAGAGAGCTTCAGAGTGATGAAAAAGATGGCAGAGATACAGAAAAGAGGCGGGACTGAGAGTCAGGAGGATGGAGAAAGAGAGAGACAGGCTTGTTGGCCGCTGTACAGAAGAGACAGGGAAGCCCTCATGGACTCTGACAATGATGAAAGAGTTCTGCGAGTGCATTGACAAGTTCTCCAGAACTGCAGACGCTTTTTTCTCCTCTCTCTATTTTTGACCCAGGCATTCCCTCAAATCCCCTGCAAAGCCCTTTGTTTTTCTCTACGACTGATTCAAACACACACGGTTTCATGTCACAAGAAGCTACAACATGTAACGTTTGTTAAAGGAGTGCTGAGGAACAAATAAGACTTCAAATGTCACTTTCAAGATGTCAGAAACCGTAATCACAGTTTAAAGCCGTACGTTTAGTAGATAGAGACAGAAAATCATTTTATGAGCGTTGGTAGAGTATCTCAGCAGTCCAGATAATTAAAATAAATCAATGACTCCCAGACAAATACACTCAAAACAAGGAACCAGGGAAGCAAATCTAGACAGGCCTACAGGATGGAACAACACAACGGCACAGGACATAACACAGCACATAACACAGCTGCAGCAGAGGGAGTGCTCAGTAAACTGCCTCCCACCGTTGCAGACAGGGTTTTGGCCTTCAGAGTAAGGTGCATCTGGAGCAGGACGCCCACACTGAAAGACTAAACCCGTACATTCAGGTACAGACCTTCACAAGGCTCTGTTCCTTCGTCTCCATCTTCTGAGAGAGAAATGGAAAAGGAACCGAGTAGAGATGTTATGGATGGTAAGTAGAGATCCTTGCATATCACATATGATCTATAGCCTATAATGAAAGATTCCAACAGCAAACCAACATCTTTCCTCTTTCAGCAAACCAAAACTGCTCCTCAATCCCAATCAGTTGGGCCACCCAATGAAAAAGTGTCAATCTATATCATAATGAGGCACTAACCAGAGACACACCATCGCACTAATAGACCTGTCTGTACGTTTCTTCACCGACAGTAACACTGTGATCCAGAAAGAAATAAAACCAGGTGACTTACTTCTCTCTTTCCCCGTGGGTGGGAGCTGTGGGAGTTGCCGTCCTCTTCTACTGGACATGGGGGTGCTGTTGGGACTGGTCTGGACTGATCCACTACGAGGATGCGCCCTACATGACAAACAGTGGTGGACAATGGGGTGAGACAAAGGCATTAAGACAAGTTCTGATGGCGGATGGTGGATGCAGGGCCTAGCCGCGTCGCACACATCACAGTTTGAGACTAAGTAAAGGAGTAAACAAAAAAGTGATCAAAGTAGTATGATGGGAGACTGATTAGAAGCAGTTATTTCATTTAGCATAAAGCCTAATATGTATATGTAATATTATATTTACTTGTTTTTATGTATGTCATTTTGACGCCTGAAGGTAGGGTAGGTAAGTTTGAGAAACCAGCTCGAGTGCGCTAGAATTTGAAAATACACAACCGGAGAAAATCTGCCACTTCCTTACAGAGCCCCTCCTCCAACACACACGAACGCGCACATGACCAATGAGGGCACGAGATAAGTTTGTGCACAGATGGAAGGCTGACAGGCAGGTAGGCCATCCAGTTATTTTAGCCGGGCCGGCTAAAATGATTGGTCGTGCTTTTTACAGTACTACGGCTTCCACAGATGACATTTTTTTATGGATTTTTTGTCAAAGCACTTAAGATATTCATTGCTATCGGGATGTTAAGAGCATTCCATGGAATATAACAAAAAGTGTATCTCAAGCCGGTTTCTCAAACTTACCTACCCCACCTTTAACTGGAGATAATCAGTAAAAGCAATTATTACAAAGTAGTAAGATCGTAATTTAATTTAAATAACTAATAGTGGGTGTAAAGCTCCATGAAAATAGTTTTGGCATTGTTTTACATTAACATTTACAGTTGTAAAGATGACTTTAAATCTACAGAGGGTCCTGGATCTCTAAATATAAAACCAATGCACACAGCAATGATGTTTGGCACATGGCATGGGAGTGGAGGGATACATCAACAGTAGGTAACTGAGCTGCAATCAAAAAAAAAAGAAAGATGCCAGGTTTGAATCGCATGTGCAGTGGAGTCATCAAGCTGCAAGGAGAAAACAGTTCAATGCAGCAACAGCAGACCAGTGCGACCATGCGTTCAGACTGTCCCCAAAAGGCTTTCAACTCAAAACAAAAAGAAGAACAGAAACAGAATGCCATCACAGGATCAAACGGCATCGGTTGATGTTAGTAATGAAATCAAAATATAATGTTGGCCCATCACTGCTATACTCACGCAAGCGTATGAGCAGTGTGCACCAAATAAAAAAAAACAGCACGCCGTCTACGGTGTCAGGATAGTCGTGCCTGGAACATGTGTAAAGAAAATACAGCACCGGTGCTTTCAGGGGACAAAACAGAAAGTGGCTAGAAAGGGTGGAGGGGTGGTCGTGAGGGGGGAGGTGGGTGGGGTGAGGTGAGGTGAGGTGGGGGGGGTAAGCAGGGTATTGGGAGGGTGGAAGTAATGATGCAGTGGGAGTAAAGTTAGTCAGGCTGGGGGAGGGGGCTCATGGGACAGGGTCTTACTAATGGAGTTCTAAAATGGTTCTAGTGATGCAAACATTTAGAAGAGGTGAAGCTGCTCTGGGGGCAGAAATAATTATTTTGATTTATTTAAACTCAGTGTTGGATTGAGAAAACCAGAGATTGTTTTGCTGTTAACCAAATTGTTAGCCAGGATTGTATATTAACAAGAAAAAACAAGTGTCAGTGCATACGAATACAAGAGAATGACTACTTTAAGATGTGACTGTAGACAGATGTCTAAGCAGGCTAACAAGCTTTTCTAAATACCCTTTTGTGATGATATCTGGATAAGATAGGTAGCTGTACTAGTAGCGAGGTTAACTAACTTGGAGTGTATTTACAGTATGTTCCCCAACTCCACATCCCTTTAACTTAGAAAGATATTAAAGTCTCAGCACTGCTTCATTCCTTTATTCAATATAAAATGTTCATTTCCCTTGGCCAACTTGGTGTAATCACCCACCTGTAGTTCATACCCTACGGATGTTATCCTTTTTGAGATATTCAATTTTTAACATTCAAGCTAAATCTGAAACGGCCATGTTTTTGTTCTTTTGCAATTTGAAATGTAAATACCCCTTAACAATCTCTTACGGATGGCCCTACCTAACTAACATAGGAAAAAAATGATGTATTGTATGTATTGCATATTCACCTAGTCTATGGTTATTCATTAGTCTAATAATGTAACCATGTGTTTTTGACCTACTATACAATATTTTAAGCTAATGTTTAAATTATCTCTCCCTCCAGAGTGGCTGTGCCTCAGGGAAATGATTGTAGGACTAAAACTCCAGTCTGCTAATGTGCTAAGATGGTTAGCGTCTCCGATCTGGGTCACACCTCGTCAAGGCAGGTGAGGGGGGGGCGGACCTCCCAGATGGCAGGGACGGCATGGACCTCATGAGCGAAGAGTCGTGGGGGCGTTCAGTGGAGCGCGAGCGGGACGTGGGGCGCTCTATAGAGGGCCGCTGGTCTGCAGAGCGGGACCTGCTGTGATACTCGTGTCTATCCATGGCTCCGTGGTTCCTACAGAGGTTATTGAGAGATAGGCAGGCACTCAGTGGGGGCCCCAGCAGGGCCGGGACCGTATGTTTGGCAGGGTTCGGAAGCAAAGACATTTGCTCCATCCTCAAAACTTCTGTATGTGTTAGAGTAACAAACCTGTTACTTTGCTTGTTTTAACCCCTTTGCTACAGATCCCATTATTTACCTAGCCTAATTAACATCATGTATGCTTCAGTTATGGATACATTTGCATTTCACTGTGATTGCACTGTTTTTAAATGCATCTACAGTTGACTTGATTTTCACTCTCATGGACTAACAAAGCATCCATGAGCAGATTTCGGATTGATATAATTTTTGAATCATGTTAGTAAAGCCTCCAGCTAGTTTTGTTAACTGGTCTTCCTTAATGTCCATAGTGTTTGCATATTGTTTGCAGAAAGTTTACTAAAACAGGTACAAATACAGATTTTGGTGGTTTAAGTGAATTGGCAAATCTTAGTGAACAGAAAACAGCAAAGTTGATCGTGTGTGGTGAATACAGTGTAAGGTGGTGCAGGAGCTTGTGCTGTCTCTACGTGGTGGGTGAGTGTGGATTTGTTTAAGGTAGAGTGAAATGTGAGGAATAGTGAGTTGTATCTGGACATTACATTTGGCTAGTTATAACTGGTATTTTTGGCACAGGGAGGATGAAGGCTGTTAATCCTTAGAGCTGGAGGGGAAAAGCAGGTGAGGTTTCCCAACAAGTCAAAATCATTGATAGTGTACATGGATATTGTTGAACCTTAACAGAGAGAAAATAAGATGAAAGAACATTTTCATAGAACCACAATACACTTCTCAAATAAAATAAATAATACAAAAAAGGAAATATTCAACTTTGGAGGTTAAGATCATGCACGTCTGTGTATCTGTAATTGTAATGTTAAAAAAAAAAACGGTTTGACTATATGTATTCTAAAGCATAGCATAGCCTTCTACAAACAGGTGGTAGCTGAAAGGCTAACAGACACTAACATATTTTTCCTAAATAATGATGTCTGATATTGTGAGATAAAACGTTTGGTTCTGATTCCTTTTAACTATATGAATTTTGAATTCTACCATGTCACAGTCTTGTAGTGCCTGTAGCCTTTGCAGTATGAAAAATTGTCCAGTAGAGGAGATGTCCTTTTTGTCTCAAAGCAAAACAAAGGCTCTTCCATCAGTGACCTTAGGAAGCTTTAACACTCATGTATTTGCAGTGATGGTAGTAGATGCAGTAATCAAGCTTCTCATTGGGTGGAATTTGATGAATATAACCATGACATTCACATACTGCGCTTCGGGGTAGCACTGGATTCAAAACATTATTTGTGTGTACTTAAAAAAGCTGCTGTTTGAATATGTGTGAGCGGCGGGCTGTGTCCCACTCAAGGTACACTCCGGGGCCATGCACTTAAACAACAGAACCATGAAAAACATTTTCTCATGTTCTGGAGGGATATCACCTAAACTAAGACACTTGCCAACAGGCTCAGACTCCACTAATGCTCTCTGTTTCTTTTCCTTTTGTAACTTTATTCTGCCCTCATTTCTTTTCTCAGTGTTGCTTTTACTCTGCGTGGGTGCAGACAGGAGCAAACAGTATCTGTATGAAGAAAGGAGGGAAATCTACTCTATTCCTCCGTGGATAACTGGGAAGCGAGCTACTATCTCGTCGTTTCAGAACAAATGCAGAGAGGGGGAGAGAAAGGAAGAGGGAGGGCTCTTGTTAATGGCTATCTAGGCTGTAGGCTGAGCCTGTACTCGAGCCAAGCTGGGCCTCAGGGAAACTTTGTGACACTTTAATAAAGTCAGTCAGGCTCTCGGGCTGGTTTCTGAGGACTCATCACTTTTTCCCTCCTGGAGGGGGGGAGAAATGGCACAAACGTCACAGTATTCCTGACTGAAAGCCAGATGGCAGAGGGTGAAAGATTGAAGACAGAGAAAAGTGGAGTCATTTACAGTGTTTCTCTGGACAGGGGGTGATGTGAGTTCTTTCTTGTTATTGGTGCATCAGGACGCTGGCGTGGGTCCTGGGGATGGATGGGTGTCAGCAGGCCTTTCTATGGGTGCTTAAAACTGCCTGGCAGCCCATTTTGGCCAGACACAAGAAGCCAAAGGCCAAACGGAGACTTTACAAAGCTACTGTGCAGCCCAGAGCAATGCATCATAGATGCCATTGTATGGCGAGCAACAAGCAGCAACCAACAGCATGTAAACAAAAGGACAACACTAAAATTCACACACACCACTGAGCAACATTCTGCTGTTGGTATAATGTACATGACACCAAAGATAAACAAGGACATCAACAAAGACACAGTCATGTGCTGGCCAGCCCTAACAACCAGTATACATAGAGCTGGCCTCGACAACAGACATAGCTCAGCCTCAGCATCCAGAGGCAGTTGTGTATTATTATTTGACATCTACACAACGTCAGAGCTGTGATGACACTTTCACAAAACCGATATCAGACAGGATATCATTTTCCGTCATCACAAGTACGATCACAGATAAATTAAAGACGGACGGGGGACAATTTGAGGAGACCACAACATGGCGGATGCACAGATGCAGCAGCCGTGCATGTCAATACCTCTCGTAGTCATAGTCCGAGGAATAGGCGCCCTCTGAATGGGCGCGGGCCATCCTAGTGGAACGCAGTAACCTGACTGCTTCCTCTCGGCAGATAGGGTACACGCGATGGTTGCGGCTGGCGGAAAAATATCACAACTGGTCAGCATGGATTTTTTCTCCGGAAAAAAGGGGAAATAAAATAAAAACAATAACCTGCAAAGGAAGAAACCTTGGACAACAGCTTGTGTAGTCCCCTATAGACTGTAGGTATAAGGTATTCCCATGACAGCCTTTTCCATTTGGTCTCTATCTGAACTATCACTTATCCCACAGATCCACGGTATTGATCAACTGAAAGCTAACCTACACATCTATACTGTGAATGAACAACCTCTGCTGGACAAAACTTCAAACCATAGATCACTTATTCATTTTCAGAATTGCCATTGTCACTCTATTTGCTCATCTAGGAATCACACGTGACACATTTTGAGAAAATGAAAGGAATGTGTATGACTGAGTTGATGAAAAGAGAAAATAAGCAATGCTTACACTGGATGGATTAAGTGTATGGTCAATCAATTTCTCAAAGTAATACACATTATGTACATAGTTGATCTTCAAAATGCTTAACCCAACATAACACTGATGGCACTGACAATGGCCATGTGAAGTAGCCTCTTTAATGCATCCAAAAACATATTGTGCAATGCTAACCTCGTTAACTTAGTTCAATACATACTCACTCCCAACTTTGTAACTATGGGCCTTTACTGTAGGTACCCCTCTAGCATTTGATTCGAAAAATAAACTTCCAATGTAGGTTTTTAGATTAACTTGATTAGGTTAAGCAACACAACTTCATGGTTAGGCTTAATAGAGATCATGGTTTGGGTTCAAATAACCACATTTGTTACAGAAGTATGTTTGTTACATTAACTACGTACACACCACTGGTTATGTATGTAAGGTAACAAGTATGGTCAAATCTAGTCAAACAGTTTCCTGGCTGAATATCTGTGCTTGTGTTTAACATCCATCGTTGTTTGATCTCAGATCTAAGCAGAATTGCACACTCTTCATACCACCTCTGTTGTTCTGATTGTCTAAAAATGCAACCAATGCATTTCAATTGGTATCAGACACAAAGGGACACTAAGTAAGAGTCACTTTTATGTCACTATTAAGTTGGGAGTACGAACAAGTTGGGTAGTTAGGCTTAGTGTCACTATTAAAGTAAGGATCTAAAAGTGCATAGAAAACATGCCATCCTGTCAGTGCCATATGTTCAATGCAGGTGGGTGTTGAGAGGGTGTTGGGGTGGAAAGGTGCAGAAATAAGGCTTCATGCATGCTCAGGTAAAGTCTACCTGGGTTCCTTTTGAGGATCATCAATAGGCTGAGTATGTCTCGTTCGAGGTAGGGTGAGAAAATGGCTGCAACCACATGGAAGGAGGAGAGAAGACAGAGATGGATCTGAGATGGCGCCGAGGAAGAAGCGGAGGAGGAGGGAAGGAGGGAGGAATAAAGAGAGACAGAGAGAGAGAAAGGATTCAAGATAGACAGAATCATAGGTAGACAGACTGAGAGGTGAGGAGACCGAGGGAAGAGAGATAGAAAGAGACTAAGAAAGCTTGTAGGAAGGGTTGATGTCACAGTTTGAAAGAGGGGAAAACCGGCATGTAAGATTAGAGAGGCTGAGAAATTGAATGGTGAGAAGATGTCATCCTCAGCGTTACAACACACACAGATGAAAGCGGTACAGCGAACACACCAGCAGCATTCAGGGAGGAGATCTGAACAGGAAAGTCCTGAGACACCTGAACCTGCTTGGTGTCACTTCTACTGACTGAACTTAACATCAGGAACATTACATATCTTCTTTTTACAGACACAACATTTCAAAAAGTAGGATAATACAGGAATACAAAATAAACCTTTTTTAATAAAATAGCTGCCTCACGAAAAGCTATACAGATTCCAGAGGAGATTTGTCGGTATTGTCAGAGTTCTGGTGCAGTTCCAAATTCTCCATGACTCATTTCCTGTGACGTTTTCTACTGTTTTCAATAAATAACTGGACGCTGTTAATTAAAGCAGCTGAAATACACTCAAGTGAGCACTGTCCCAGACAATTTAGATAAGTGCATTTTCTGCGTCTGACACTGATTTAGGCCAAGCCTCAGAAATATCAAATAAAGTTAATTGGACGGGGGGAAAGTAGCTGCGGCCTGGCAGTGCCAAGGCTATGATTGGCCTCTTGGAGCTAGATTTTCCAACCCTCACAGAAAGAAAATGCTGATGGAGGATAACTGACCACTTCCCCCTTGACCACCTTTCCATAAACATAGCGAGATACATGCAAATAATGTACAGTGTTGTACAGCATTTGTAGGACACTCTCCAAATGTTTCCTTAGCCTAAATCTATGAGGGAACAACCTTATTGTTCATTAATATTCTTATGCAGTGCAGTCTTTACCATGTGTGCGGTTCATGTAGGTCTTAACTGGGATGCAACTTTTCTGATAAAGAAGTGTATACTGGTCTGGTACAAGCTATTTGCTGAGTTTGTAGGATATGATTTCTCTTTTGGACGTTTGGAGTATTACTGTTTGTCGACATGATGAAGAGAAGATCAAGCAACTATTAATGTAAAGGTAATCACACATCAGTATCAGGTAACATAGTGTGGTCAATTTGTTTCAATGGAATGGACAAAGTTGTTAATTAAAGGGACAGTTTACACAAAACTCAAAAATATATATTTTCCCTTTTACGTTTCAGGGAATCAATATTGTTTTGGTGTATGTTGCCAAGTGCTGGAGATATCCGCCATACAGATGTCTGCATTATCTCCAATTTAATGGAACTACATTTTATGACCCGGTAACTCAAGATAATCCACAGACTTTGTTGGAAGCAGTGTGCATCTACTGAAGACAAGCAGCTTGTCTGGGTACAGTGAGAGGTTAACCAAACTGGCGTCCTCCTTGGCGGTGCTGTAATGTTAGCTACTGTAGCTCAGGTGACTCAGAAGCACCCCTCTTGCTTGAGTATATGCACGCTACCTTGTGCTCTGTGATAAAGTAGGAAAAAGAGTTTCAATGTATTTTTGGCGCCACAAGGAGAAACAGTAGGAAGACATCTCTAGCGTCGATATCTGCAACCCACACCGTAACAATCTAGATTGATATATAGCACTACAGGTAAGAGGAAAATATGTGTAATTTTTGTGGTAAGTGTCCCTTTAAAAGCAGGAATATAAGAACCCACATACAATATCAGCGAGTTTAAGGCAAATGGCATCGAGCGTATTTCGTGCACACACACCTCCCTGCATGTTTACTCATCAGCCCCCACTTGTGCCTGTCAGCATTTGTTCCATGCATGCCAGCGTATGCACATGCATCTACTGCACACAAGTGTAAGCTGGAGTGTGTGTGTACCTGTCAGGAGAGTAGTTATCTTCAGACACACTGTGGTGGTCCACTCTAGTGGAGGAGCTGTACTGAGAAGGCCTAAGGTCAAAGGCGGGGTCCAGACTTCTGCTGTGTGACAGAAGTAGACTGGATCACCCCTCGTGTTCTTTACACACTGCCCCCTATTGGCCAGGTGGAAAATCTCCTCATGTTTACGTGAGGCATTTTGGGTTAATCAAGAAATACTGCATACTACAAGGGGTTGTTATAGCATTTGGAAGGCAGTACAATGGCTTACCCCTAAGGATCCCTAAGAATAGAAATGAATGGATCCTCTTTCAAAATGTGTTTGTTAATAAAATATATGAACAAATATAAAAAGTGTATATACAAGTCGGAAAAAACCTTAAATCCAATATGAATAGTAATAATAATTAAGTAATAATCCTTGTTAATGATTTTTACTCATCTGGTCATCCTTCGTGGAAGAAATTACACATCTCTCATAAAGAAAGCATTCATTTTGTATAAAAATGTTTATATAAAATAATAGAAGCATCTAAATGTCGTATAATATATGTTTGGTCATCTTACATAAACACTTAAAAAAACTAAAATCAAGAATTTGCCATAAATAATATCACAAAATACATACAAATTGTAAACAATAACAAAACACAGTGTCCACCGAGAAATGCAGCTAAGTAGTGGACTGAGTGTAGTTACCTGGAGGGGGGGGGGACGCTGGGAGAACGCGACCGCGCCCGGTTAATGTCAGCTGAGTGGGAGCAGTGGTTCGACGACATCACCTGATCAGGGACAGACAACGTGGAGCTCTGGAAGTCTCGGCCATTAGACCGGTAGTCTGTGAAGAATGGAGAGAGGAAGGCAGGACACAATTAGGAGGGGAGGGTTTTTCAGAAGGCTCTGTATAAATATACATGTACTGCCAACAAAATACTGCAGTGGTGGATTATAAGACAAATACAACAGTCATAAATGTCTTTGCTAATTAACAACGTATGAATTCTCTTCACTTTGAGCAGGTGATGAAGCCAAATCTGGAGCATTTGATAATGAAACATGATAACAGCTAATGATGCCGATTCTTAATGGAACAACTAAACTTTGTGCACTAAAAGCTAACCTGCACAGGCACTGCTTTTCATTTTGCTGAGTCTATATTAGAAAATTAAAAAGACTACGTTTCAATTAAGTTGTAATTCCTATCCACTGTTAACACTGTGCATTAAACATGAAAATAGCCTTTAAAAATCAGAAACATTATAATGAATTTTCTCTGCAGGGCTGATTGGTCCATTGAACTTGAAAGAGTTCATTAACCGATAATCAGACATGGCTAGCAGCCACGGTTAAGGTCAATGCTTAGCACTTTTCAAGTTGATTGATATTCAATAGAGTGCATAGCACATTCAAATGAGTTAAAGAAAAAATCAAAAGTTAAAAAAGAAGGGAAAGGTAGGAAAATGTGGAGGTAGTGGTAAGGAAATGACGACCTTCACTTGGGGAGTAGACTTTTTTGCATTTGTCAAATTGAATGATCCATTCATGTGTACTGTATGTACCAGATAATAAGAAACATATAAAGCGCAACCGACAACTGTTATTCTACCCCATTTAAAGGAAATACAGTCAGCAGAGTTATTGCAAATACTGCGGGGTAAACGGAGATGTGTTGGAGCCTGTTTAGAGAGGAGGGTTTCACCGGAGCTGAGCAAAGGGGTATTCCCTTCACTGAGGATGAAGGTGACTGGCATGGTGAGGCAGTGAGGGGCTGATGAGAATGTTAAAGAGTTCTCTGTGGCCTGCATCTGCTTATAGGGATGTGAAACAATAATACATGCTAAATCAATAGCAAACGCAGCTATCTCCTTCCTGCAGTTTACCAACAGCTTCACTACAAACCAGGTAAACGGAGAAAAGTCTGGTTATAACTGAGAGAGAACAGACTTGCCAACATCGTAAAAGCGATCCTCTAACTTTTCATTATGCGTTGCCGCCTATCTCAGGATAATTTCCTTCAAGGTTGATATCTTATGTGTGGAAATTAAAGTTATTTTCTAATAATCTTTCTGCTTGTCTCTCTAGCTGGTTACAGCGGAGCAGAGCTGTTCTGATGTGCAGCGTGGGCGTGCTGCTGGAGCCTCGGTGAGAACAGCAGAACAGAACTAGATCTCAGCGCTGCCTCTGTGCTGCTGCTGCTGCTGATGGCTGCAGCATGTCACACTGCTAATATGGTGTATATGATATATATATAACAGTATTGTTAGCTGTTTAGACCTAGGAAGGATTTGACAGATGGTGGCATGTAGGAGGTAAGGCTAAGGTGGACAACATTTAGCTTTAACTCATCATTATGAACTACATGTAAGGGCTGTAGAATGATGACACCGTGGGCGTTCGGCTTGTTACTTCACTTTCAGGATCTAACTCTGTCTGCCTCAGATTCGCAATCTCCCTTTCAAAATAAAAGCCCCATATATAAAAGCTAACAGTAAATATCTTCATGTAGCCGAACAATAATTGTGTGCCCACAAAAAGTGTTTGGATGTCAGTGGAGCCAAAGATCTAAGAGTAAGCTAAATCAGAATGTATCAAAACATGCATGACTTTACTTATGAATAATATCAGGTGTTTTATCATAGCACTGAGAGCTCTGGGATTCTTCCAGATGTTTCTTGATTTGGACAGTGATGGTAGCCAGGCTGCTAGCTGTAGCTATGTTGCTAACAATGTAAAACAAGTAGACTGATCTTCGTGTTGTATATACAAATTATAATATTACAATAACACCACTTAGAAAGTTCGGAAAAGGTTTCCACTTTTAAATAAAAAACGAAATGATAATATTCCCTGGTGAAAAATCATATTTAAATATAAAAACCCTTTTGTTACTTATCCAGACTTGCTCTTTGGCATTTTGTTTCAGATTTTAAATCATTTTTTTAATTCACATGCACTCTGACTTTAATATATTACCTGTTATTACTCCAACACCATCTTCACAATCATAGTCCGAGATCTCACTGTCACTTATCCTTTGGGATCCTATGAAATAAAGAGAAACAAGGAGAAAACAGGAGAAGAGGGAAAAGTCTTTTTTAGTACCGTGGTCATTTATGAAGCAGGGTTTATTTGGATTATGCCTCCCTGGATTTAATGGTTACACCTAATGAACTCACGTCACCACAGCCAACAAAAACAACAACTGTTCAAGCAAGAGCTTTTGGAGTTCAAATATGTGTCTGCATTGTACTGCTCAACCTCAACAAAAACAGCAGATCTCTTTTTTGAATCTGGGGCATTTTGAATGACACATTCCATCATTCAAAAGACATTGGAAGATGGGGGTGGGAGAAGTGATGCGGCGTTACAGATCTTTCTTCATCTTCCCCAGAAACCGTATACTCTACCCCCTCTCTTTAAAGTACGACCCCCTCCCTGAAGCCCCCCATCGCTTTCAATGTTCAGTCATCTTAAATCAACTGGACAAGTGTGCTTTATCAGAAATGACAAGTGCTGCACTCTGGCAGTGCCGCTCCCCACCTCTCATATCAGTTGGCTGTAGACTTTTTACAGCTGTCAGCTCTTTCACCTCACACTTACACTAACGCCCAGAAAATCATCCTGGTGGGGGGGGGCAAGCAAGCTGTAAGTGTCCAGTAGAAGAAGTACAGTGAAGCTGCTCTGAGTACACTACAGTCATACAGTACGGTCGCCTAACGAATGTAAACCAGCATCTGATCACATAAAGGGGCCATCAAATGGTATATTTTGGAGCTTGGCTCAAGGAAATACAACGCTCTTTTTGTTTGTTTCTCTAAATAAATATACCGCCACTGTTTTTGAACGGTTATCCGATGTATATCATGACAATTTCAACAACATATTCACATTTAACTCTCCTATTGTCTTTGTTTCCCCCCCCCCTTACTTTGGTGTTCGCGGTCAAATTTGACCGGTTCTGTTTTAACTGCTATTACATTAACACAAAAACCATTCATCATCACCAAATTTCATTTAACACCCTTTCAAACTGTAAATATTGTATCAGACTACTGGTATACATGAACAACTGCAGTAAATATACAAAGAATAGACACTGAACAAGTATTGCGTGTGCCAGGTGTGATTCATGTGGGGGGATGGGCACAAAAGAGCGGGACATGTGTCAAATTGTTCTGTGTGTGTGTGTGTGTGTTTGTGAGTGCCAGGTGTGATTGACATGGGGGGATTGGGCACATAAGGGGGGGGGAACACATCTAGAGTATGTGTGTGTGTGTGTGTGTGTGTGTGTGTGTGTGTGTGTGTGTGTGTGTGTGTGTGTGTGTGTGTGTGTGTGTGTGTGTGTGTGTGTGTGTGTGTGTGTGTGTGTGTGTGTGTGTGTGTGTGTGTGTGTGTTTGTGTGTGTTTGATCTGATCCGGATGGTTACTAATTCCATTTCTTTATGGCGGTAATTTTTGACCGGGAACACCATGGGTGTTACAAAGTTGACTAAATCATCCAAAATTCAATGAAAGTGGTGATCAGCCATTTTATATGTTCAAATGTCTTCTGTGAAGGATATCATAAAGCCTTAATGCAATCGAATGTAAAACACAAAAGTTATGATTGATGAAAGTATAAATCGTTCAGATTTGACCCGAAGACAACAGGAGGGTTAATATCCACAAACACAAGCCAAGCAGAAAGGGCTCCAAAATATTGTTTTTTTCTTCCTAAAAGGGGAAATGTTCCAACAACAAAATGAAAAACAAAACAAACAAGCGCATCACAGAGGAAAATCAAGTCTATTGGGACTGGCAGCCTGTGCTTTTAGAACATCAGGTTTGGTAGGATTTGGTTTTGGGTTGCAGGACTCCCTGTACATGCACGCTTTGTGGAAGAGAAGGGGAGGAGAACCAGGGTCAGGGACAGAAAAACACTCAGATACTCTACAGAGCAGCACTGCCTGTGAGAGCAGGGGGCCTTTACCTGAGTTGTATGAATAAGAGCCTTTGTCTGTGAAAGCAGAAGCAATAAGGTTGATGTGACATGCATGATAAAGACAACATATGCATAAACTGCTGTACAAGCTTACAACAACTACAGCAGTTAAAAAAAACAATGGATTCTTTTAAATCAGGACATTTGCAAATGACTTATTATTAGAGATTAGAAAGTTGATCAAGCCTAAATCTACTATATTTAAAGATATTAATTGTTGTTACGTGAGCATGCCAGTTTGTGTCAACAACAATGTCTGCTGTCAAGATTGTTAAAATTGTTTGAAAGTGTAGACAGACAATATAATGTACTTTCTTTGGTAAAAGTCAAGTTATTCATTTAACTTGGTGTTGGGTTTGTTAAATGTGAAGTTTAACTAGCCTTTTGAAACACACTTCTTTAGAGGTGTGTGACATACTGTGTGATTGACAGGGGGCAACGTACTCTGGAGCCGTCGTGTGGGGCTCTCTCCGTGGAGCTGCCTGCGCTGTGTGTTGGGGGAGGCACGTGGGAGCGGCATGGAGGACACGTCGTGGGTTTGTAGCTTGTACCAGTGTGGCTCATCATCCAGAAGTGCTGTCTCCAGCTCAATAAGGATCTGTGGGGGGTTAAGGTCACAATAAAACATGTCTTCGCTCAAAATAGTTGCATATGAACATAATTTTCTCAATTATGAAATGATAGCAACTCACAAAGTAATCACAGAGCTCTTACAGTTAGCCAAGATTAGTTATTCATAGCATTTTTACACAGTTATGTCAAATATCTAAGCTCACTGTCCGTGTCAGACAAGGTCTGGACATCCAAAGCCTTTTAATGGACAAGAGCTTCATGAATGGCTTGCCCCCAATCTTGAGGATTAGCTGAGTGAGCGTCAGTGAGTGTCCCAAATGGTTGGGCTTTGGTTTTCTTACCTCTCCCAGGAACTCGCTCTCCTCCTCCCTCACCCTGGCTTGGTCCCACAATGTGATCTCCAGCATGCGCTCCCGAAACTCCCGCCGGTGCACCGGCGAATACATAAAGGTCTGGTTCCATTTGGGCTCTAAGGATTTCTTTAACGTTTTTGTTCTCCTCTTGCTTTTGTCGCTGGAGGAACAATAATTCAAACTGTTTTTATTTACAACCATGATAGGGAACAGCCACGAATACAACAGATTAAAAACACGACACAGCACAGAGCACATCACCCAGGCATGCTGATGATGGCAGTGAGATGGCAACAAGACTGTCCTAATTCCCAGAAAATGTCCACTTCCTGCTTTCTTCATCAGTGCATAAGAAAGAACTGCGTAACAAGGTGCAAAGCTGCACAGAACGTCCAACAACGTAATAAGACACATCCACTAAATCCCTACAACTTTTTATGATGCTAATGTAGAGCTGCACCGAATATTTGTATTACTTTTCAAGATTAGACTACACTACACTATTTACAACTTCCTTGATCCAAACATCTATGATTTAAAAGGAAAAATATGTACAACTTTAATCTGTTGAATAATTTAATGAAAATGTAGAATATTTGTTGATGATTTCTGAGTTGAAGTCATGTATAAAAGAAAACTTTAGTACAGTCCTGTGCTAATTGTTAAAAAAACAATGACGCATAACATTTCAATATCACTGAACACAATCTATTTTCCTTAATCTCACTTTGTACTAATGTACACTGTCTTGGTGAGTGGAGTGAACTAATGTGACATTAAATGAGTGGGGTGTATACAACGCTAACTGTTTCTACTCTTACCTTCTATCGGGGAGGAAGTAGATTTTGACGTAAGGGTTCCTGGGGCGGCCGTCTTCCCTGGGGGGCAGGTCTTTGGCGCCCAGGATGGTGACAATTAGCTGATGGCCCACTTTGTCATACCATAGTTTGACCTGCAGGGGCAGAGCACAGACAGCTGCTGAGAGACGCTCAGGGCCAACAGGAAGGAGAACACAGAGAAGACCACTTCCTCCAATTAGAAAATAAAGTTAGTGCATAGGTGTCATCATTTATTGAGTCTTCTCCTGTATTCACCCTTCAGGGAAAAGGTGGTATGTTTCTGCCTGTTAAGATAATGTCAGGTCACATGCTTGGCAGCGCAATTTACAGAGCTTAAAGGGACAGTTGACCCCCAAAATCGAAAAATACATTTGTTTTCTCTTATCGGTAGTGCTGTTTATATACCTGGACTATTTTGATGAGTTTTGGAGATATTAGTTGAAGAGATGTCTGTCTTCTCTCTAATATAATGAAACAACATTGAACTCGGCTTGTGGGCTCAAAGGGCCAAAATGTCTCTTTTCAGAAGACGCAACTGTCAACCTTTTTATGATAGGTGATACGGTTCAAATAAATAACTGCAGCAGGAATCTTGTCACAACAAGGTCTGTAGTTTATTCTGAAGGAGGCACTGCTGTTCAGGGTGAGAGCCATTTGCTGCATTATATTAGAGAGAAGGCAGACATCTTTATGGCTGATACCTCAAACTGTTTGTACTCACAACAAAACAAGCTAGCTAGATGAATAGCACTACAGGTCAAAGGAAAAATATGTATTTATTTTCATTTTGGAGTGAACTGTCCCCTTAAGTGCTCATGGACTTACTGTATCAATGTTAAAATGCTATGATAATGCTAATATATCAAAATCAAATATTAGGATCTTAGTGTCATTTTAGTTCGATGTGTTTTTAGCGTGATGCTACGTTTATCGATATTTGTTTCACTTTATTTGACATGTTGTAAATGTATGTGTTCATCTTTCTAATAACCACTCCCCCTGCAGAGATGAATGAAGCTCACTGAATGGTATTTTGACTCAAGTGATTTGCTGTGCTCTGTTGGTATTGTCTACCTGTGAGGATGCTGCCTCTATTCATTAACTATCAGATATTCAATGGGCGTTCATATAAGGAAATCAATCATGCTGTTGCGTGAATTATTGAAGACATTTCACATTAAAAGGGAAGTATGGACTCCAAAAGAAGACACTTAGAAGAAGAAAAAACTCCAACTGAGGCCTTACAGGAAGTAGATGAAATGAGAAATAAAACTTCTAAGCTTGTGTCCATACTTCTGTAAAAATGTGATAATGGAAAAAAGGTCTGCACCAATTCAAAGTATCAGCTATACATGCAGCAACGCAAGAGAGAGCATTCAAGACAAGTCAAAAGATCTTCATGTAGGCAAAACAGACACTAGAGGGCTTATGGGAAAACAAATTGTACCACATCTTCTCAAAACCTGTAGCCCACCAAATCACCAGATGTTGCAAAGTGAGTGTACTGTACAGTGATTGTGTTTGAATTTGTACAAAATATTCAGTAAAGATTCAGATTGAATTCTTATGGATTATATTATAAGTGGTAACACACGTGGTTCAAAAGTAACGTACTCAAAAATAAGTGGCTATGAAATGTGTCCATTTTAAAAATACACTAATAGAAACATACAAGCTTTACCAAAGTACACACAATAACACATACACACAAATAAAAACCTACTTGTACATTCAACCTCCATAAAATGTCATTACACCCCTCTTAATTTGAAAACTTGCATCTCTATCTCGACCCATTATAATAATGTATTGTGTGAGATCCAAACAAGGCTTGTTGATGGTGCTCTTAACTCATCACATTAACATATTGTCAGCTGTAAGTATTAATATAGAAACTAACCGAGCCAAGAAAATAAATTCCAAAAAATGATGAAACAAAACCCAGAGAGAAGACTGATAATAAAGACGACAGCATAAAAGAGACCCCTTGAAGTGAAGGAAAACCTTCAACTCTTATTTTGCAGGTACAATTTGCTTGAACTCTTAACTGGAAAGGAAATGCAAGTTGGTTTCCAGCACAGGACGGCAAACTTGTTTTTTTTTCACTGCAACATGAAACTGCAGACCAATCAACCATATGATGCTTAAGTTGCATAAGTTGAACTTGCACATGGAGCAGTTCTCCTGTACATGTGCGTAGGGCAGAGTTACAGGCCTGGGTTCATGTTACACTGAGGCAGAAAATAACTCAAGTCCTTTGTCCTGAGACAGTTCAGGGAGACACCCTCCTGCATTTCCAAAGATCACATATGTCTGACACGAGTTATGGTGAAGTGTCAGATTAGGCAATGGAAGAGTGTCTCCTTAAATGTGTTTAGATTAGTTGAGCATGCATAACCTAGGAAAGAATGAGGTGGGAAATGATTTATAACTCTTATCATAACAGTGATACCAAGAAATCAAACTGAAGAAAATGACACAATGCACTGCACTGAGGGAAACTTGAAGCTGCCATTTCCCCTAGAATGCATTTTCCAAAGTATGGAAACAGTCAACAGTCAATGAGCAAAGACCAAATAGAGATTGTGCCCTTCAGACGGGGCCCATTACCTGGACCCTAGGGGTAAAAGGCGTTGTTCTTCTACTAAGGCTTTGGCTCTGGATAAGCACAATTAAACAAAAAAAAGGACAAGAAAAGAAACTGCAATAAAACCAAAACCCAACAAAACAGCAACACAAACTCACAATACACTCTTAACAACAACAACAACAACAACAGTTTGTAGTTTCAGATGTTGGGTTTGTTCTTATTTCCTGTTTAACTTTTTATGTAATGCTTTACTAGTTCTGCATAGGCTAAATGTCACACAATCATTTTTAATATTTGACAGCTACAAAAGCCTCTGCATAGAATCAGTCATTGGACATTGCTGATCTTAGAGGGTTAATTCAATGCACTCAGTTTTTTAAATAATCGGTTGTTTCATGATTCTTTACATGCAGAACATAAAAAGTCATGATCCGGGCAAAATCTTGGGGTGTGCTAAACCCTCAAAGGATAAGTATATCATACAACCCCACTACAAACATCCCTTTACATTTAATATTTTTTTATGTGGGAAAACCTACTACAGTCCACTACAGCAATCGGAACCATCCAATGTACCAAAGAAAACGTAACAATTGTAACATTTTATGATTGTGGTATGACATTTCAAACTAATGTAAATCAAACTCAACTATTTCTCATTAGAATATATATATATATTTTTTTTAAACGTGTAGAGATGTAACATAGATGCTAAAAGCCTTTTCCCTACTGGACCCTACATTTAAGTGCTGATTTTATTCAGCCATTTACCCATTTATCCCAGGAGAGTTTTTATACTGGATAATGAACAGCACGTGGTAACCTGATCTACACGCCTGTACTGGGTTGGTAAAGGGCCAGCTCAACCGGCAGAGTAAGAAAAGCTCTGCCCGGTAACCAAATGATTTGAAACAGTATTTAAGGTATTATTTGAGTCCATTCCTAAATATAGTCAAATGAACTAAAAACCCTTTAAAATGTTCATCAATGTAGTCTTTAGTGAGGATTTCACATAGTCTGTATGTCACTTACTGAGAGCTGACCTGACAGGTACTGGGGGGCGTCCCTCAGCATGCTGGGACTCATGGGGGACGTGACGGAGATGGACGGGCGATCCACCTTTTGAGACTCAAAAGAACTCGAACCTGACAGGGCAGGGACCACACGGTCAGATCAGGTAGTGAAGACGTTGGTTTTAATAACATCGAGAGATACAATGAGAGACGGGGGATGGTTGTGAGGAAGATAGAAAGACAATGGCAAGAAGAGAGACAGAAAGAGGGCAAGAAAGCATGCCGTAAGAAAGACGGGGACACAGAGAGGCAGAGTGACAGAACTCTCAGAGACATTTCCTTCACTTGATGTTTCTAGGCTGATTAATAGGATTACATGGGGTAATGAAATAGCTTAAAGATTCTGAGACTGAGACTCACTTGATTCCAGTTGTGCATGTGTGCTGTCTGGTATCCTTGGAATATCTCTGGGAAAAAAAGAGAGAAAGAGTATGAGTGTGAGAGACAGGAGAGAGGGAAGGGGTGGAAAGGATCAATTTGTGCTACTGCTGACTGCACTGTGCTCTAATGACCGCATTAGTCTTCATTCAGCAGCAGCTCCCTCAGCAGCACAAAGAGGGTCAGATATAGGATTGGTAAAGCAAAGGTGTTGCTGTTTTCCACTATTTACATTTGGAGTCAAAGCAAGGCAGCAAGCTGTCATTTTGCTGGGATGTGTTGGATTTGAAGGGGATAGATTCCCAAATGTTGAATAAAACAAGTACGCACCACTCATTCAAAAATATATTCTGTGGTAACACAAGCTATCTTCACCTCGAGATGTCCTGAAGGCTCCATATTATAGTGAGCTCAGTAATGCAGGCAGTGACTTGACCTCAATGAGCCTAAAGACATAACAACTGTAATTGTTTTAAAGAAACAATATCAATAAAAGTAGGAAGTCACTAATGATGCAATTCCTGTTATATAAAATCATAGATTTGATTGCACACATTTACAATAATTTTTTTTAATGTGATTATTAAATGTATCCTTTCCAACTGATTATTCGTTCTTCATGCTGAAAGAGGCCTGGAAGCTATGCCAGTTTTCATGTTGTCAGAGGCAGGTTGGCACTGTAGACAGGACAGAGTCCTGATATTACATTACTTATTAGAATAAAAGACCTGAAAAATAATTTCATAAAAGCAATAAAGTAATCGTATTGTGTGCCAAACACAGCAGTTACGATCATATAATGCGGTGCGTGTGTGACAGTCATGGTGAGCTCTCACCCTATAGGCCGTGAGACCACCAGCTCCACCTGCGGCTCAGGCTTGGAGTCTAGAATGATATTGTAAACTTCTTTAAATGTGGCTCCTTGTAAAAGCTTCCCGTTCCACTCCAGCACCTGGTCACCTGCAAACACACCAGACACACAGGATAACGTTTTGTAGTGTAGAAAACACACCTCATCATGCTGTGTGTGTGTGTGTGTGTGTGTGTGTGTGTGTGTGTGTGTGTGTGTGTGTGTGTGTGTGTGTGTGTGTGTGTGTGTGTGTGTGTGTGTGTGTGTGTGTGTGTCTTTATACCTGGTCTGAGATGTCCAACAGTGTCTGCTAGACTTCCTTTCCTCACTTTAGTGATGAAAGCACAAAGTCTACCAGATTCTGTCATCTTGCCTCCCACCACCTGTAGGAGCAGATTAGCACTGGATTAGCACTGAAACACAACTTGAATTGTTAGTGTTATTATCACTGTGTTATTATTATGGGTACTTGCGAACTGAGGCCTCTCATGCCTCTCATGCAGCTTGCAGGAGAAAACCGATTGTTTTCCCCCAATGTATCCCAGTGATGTCATAGTGTTTGCCTGCGAGGTATGAATCCTCAATAAAAGCCTAGATTTGTTGTAATGTTTAAGGCTATGTTTTCTGCCCAGGGACACACTCAGTGGTTCTGTAACAGTGCAGGTCCGTGGGCTTCAGCTGTACTGTAAAGACCTGAGCTGCTGTACTCAGCTTACATGGGCATGATACAAATAAAAATCCCTCTTAATGGCAGCTGAATGCCAACATACAAAGGAGCTTAGGGAAGTCTGCTAAATGAAATGGCTTTATGTAACAGGCAGGAGCCGGAGAAGGAGGCTGGCAGTGAAAGAGATGGAGATAGAGAAAGATGGACAGTGGGGGGGGGGGGGGGCTGGCAGCCTGACTGATGGACTGACTGGCTGCACTGCCGAGTTGGTTGTCTGCTGCTGAGCGGACAGAAACGCACAGAGGCACTGAGCAGACACAAACATGCCGTTTCAGGAGGCTCATTCAATCAGTAATGATTTTCCCCGTCTCTCACTTCTCTCTCTGCATCACCCACCATGCTCCTCTGGACTTGGCTGCTCAGCTTTTTTTTTTACCACCTACAGATTAATGCAACAGTGAAAAGGGAAGGTAAACCAAAGCATTTACCACAATAGAAAGCTTTCTTTGGCAATGTAGTGACTATGCTGCAATAACAAAATGGGTAAGAGGTAGGGCTGCAAGATTATTTTCATTATCAACTCATCTGCAGGATATTTGATTTTTAGATGAATCGATTAATTGTTCGACTTAAAAAATGTCACTAAATAGTCAAACATTTCAATCCCAGTTTCTCAAAGTCCAAGGTAATGTCTTTCATGTTTTGTCTTAAACCCAAGAATCCACTTTGTTTAATAAAACGATGCAGTTATATGAGGAAGCTTTTTGCAGTACTGCACGGTAGCTTGTGAATTGCACCAAGGAATTAATTCAAGTGTATCTATAATAATTAATGATTCATTGTTTCTTGATTAAATTAAATTAAGGTATAATATAAAGTTAGTGAGTAAAAACTACAACATGTGCCTCTGAATTGTAGCGGAGGTGTATAAAGTAGCAGGAAATGAAAGAAAATGTGTTCAGTTCTTGATCAAATAAAACGAATTACTGTTAAACACTGAATACGACAAAATGAAAAATATTTTAGAAACTTTCAACAGGATTTTCTGCAATTCTTTTGCAATAATAACTCCTCAATGAATCATGGATAATCAGAGTATTTTTCTTTTAAACGTCTAAATGATTACACTCATTTACATTGCAGTTCTTTACAAAGGTTTACATTGAGTGAAGTAAGAATATATAAAAGTATGCTTCACAGCACTAAAAGCATAGGAAACATACAGCAAGCATATCGTTTAAATTCCTCGGGGAATGTGATGATGCTATTCAAAATGTGTGCAGTGACGACACTGACAGGACTCGTTTCCTCTGCGCTGCTGAATGCAGTTCATTAAAGTAGTTCAATGTGAGTGAGTTCAGAAAATTATACGGCTCAATGTTAAACGATGCTCATTAATATTCATCAGGGACATAATCAAGTCTTTAATGAATATTATTACTGAGTAGCACTATGATGTTATCGATAATTGGAAAGCCAAGGAGAAAATCAGCACACACAAAAAAAGGCCACAAAATAGTAGAAAGACACTGTAGGTTCACATCAATGTACAACCAACACTGATAATCAGCTGGACCTGTCAAACCTCCCCAGAATCCCTGGGTCTGCTTCCACTGAAGTCCATAACCAACATTTGTGATACATGTGCATATTTTAAAGCTGCAGTTGGTAGCTTTCATACATGTACCTTTTCTCATTCTGATATTGTGACTGTAGTGCATGAGACAGTTACAAAATATCATGTTCCTCTGCCTCCCAGAATTTGGAATTTGGAGTCCTCTGCCCAGAAGGAAAACAACCAATCAGAGCAGAAGATACTCTAACGTATCTCCAAGTGTCAATCACTGCTTGTAAACCCCAATCAAAATGTGAAATGACGCAGTGCTGGTTAAACATACAACAGTAAATAAAACAGTCACAGCTAAACGATGCACTGAAATATGTTTTGTGAAAACGTTTTGTTAAGTTGCCTCTTAGCATGACTCTCTCTGTACATTTACGTTCCTCTGGTAAGCAGTCATGCTGCGTAAATGTCGAGGGCTTTTATTGTGAAGGGTAAGAACAGAAGGAGGTGCGCACACGCTGTTGACAACGTGGGAGCAATGAAGAGTTTGCCGTCTTGGTGTAGACGACAGATTCTCCGTATTATTTTGAACAACCTTCCTAAGTATAGGCACGACCCAGAGCCCTCGGCCAGTGATCCTTTACCTTAACACTTTTAGAGATTCTTTGGCTGTGATTGTTTGTTTTGATAAAAGTTATTTAAGTTACGTAGTATTGAATATGTTACCAAACTGCAGCTTAAACACATTTCTTTGGTGTTGAGTTTTTCATGAGATCTTCAGACACACACAGACAGGTAGAATCATTATGAGCTCACCTTTAGACCAAGCAGAGCTCCTGAGTCTCGAGGCACACTTCCATCTTTCATGCGCTTGTTGAGTAAAATACGCCCTATTAGGCGATCCCCATCTTTGGACGGCTGCCACGTCACCGGGTGCTACAAGGTCAGAGCAACACACACCTATTGTTCAACAACTCATCCGCTTGCATGTGATTACATTAGACCCAAGCACACAACTGTCCATAGTGAAAAGGGTGCATGGGGAGAGTATTTATTCACTCAGGGAAGAGAGTTCACACAAACTCTGTCGCCCTCATCAATTGTTAAATGTTTTAGCTAGCAACACGCTCAGTTATTTACATTTTAAAAGACGGGATATTGAATTGCTAAGAGAATCAAGGACGAACTATTGATGAAAAATAACATCCAACACAACAGTGAAAGGTGTTATTTCCAGAGCTTGTGTGAACATGCCAGTGTGAAGGTGGAGTTAGCTTCATGCAGCGCCCCATGCAGAGTAAAGCAAGCAGCCCCAACCCTCCACCTCCAACCAGCTCTTCAAAGTGGAGCAGGAAGACCGGAGTCTCACTACACACAGACATACAACCATCATCAGGTGGAGGAGTGAGGGGAAAGCAGACTGCGAAAAAGGGGGGGGGGGAAAGGGTCATCTATGATGCAAGAACAAATGAGGTAGTCCAGTTCAAAGATTAAAAAAAGAATGGAAAATAGAGCGCATGTGTTAAAGCCATGAGACACAGAGAGGGTGAAATCACAGACGCGCAGTGGAAGGGAAAAAAGAAAAACATATGTTTTCATTTTTGGTGCAAAACAAATCAGTCTTCCCTGTTTTGTGTGCTTACAATCATTTAGGTTTGCTAAAGAAGTGAGTGGAAAGTTAGGCAAGGGGCGGGTTCTGTCTGGACTGGGTGCTGTGGGGTGGGGGGGGGGGGGGGGGGGGGGGGGGGGGGGGGGGGGGGGGGGGGGGGGGGGCAGCAGAGTGAGAGGGGTCGGCCCTGAGTAAAGATGTTTCCTATGACACTAAACAGGACCGCTGCAGAGCAAGAACACAACATACGGAGGAGAACGAGCATGCAACTAGGAGAGACCCACATTCCTGTGTGCCATGACAAACAGAGAGCTTGTGTGTCAATGCTCTTTTTTTTAAAACTACTGTAAGATGTGTTGTTTCTGTTTGGGGAGCAAAACAGCAAGTACAAGTAGCAAGCAAAGAGGGTGCCCCCAAAAGACTTTTTCGGCAACACCGAGCAAGGTGGAGCCAAAAGTAACCGAAAAAACAAAAAAGGAACGAAATCGCAAGAGAAATCAATTTATACAAACGTCAAATAAAAATCCAAAAAACAAACATCTCACCTATTTACACTGAGTGACAGAGCAAAACAAAGACTGGATGGGTAGGTTAAAAATAATAATAACAAAATGCAGGCTAGATTGTCTTAGTACCTTCTCACTATGGCTATGCTCCTCGTTTAGGGTAGTGCTACTGCACGTATCAACTCCCGAGTCTTTAACCTGCGGTTCACACCATGCCAAGTCCTCTTCAAATGAGTGTCCCCCAAAGCGCACCATTTTCTTTTGCCTCTCAGATAAGGTGTGTGTCGGCTCGGACATAAATGTCTGCTCAATTGTTTTTCTTTTTCCCCTTTGACTGTCCCCTACAGGTGTGGGATAAAAACAGAAAGAAAACAGAAAAACAACATGCAAAGGTGTAAATAAAACGAAGGAAACATGAGATGACAAAAGACTCTGGTAGAGGGGGGGATGGGGGGGGGAGAGAGACAGAGAGAGGGAGAGAGAGATGGGGGGTTAGGGAGGGACGGGAGAGGGGGGAGGTCAAGGCAGGGCTCCACATGTCTCACCAAAGACATTGGGGAGGCCTCGCTGCTATGCCAAGAAGCATGGTCCCACCAATGGCCATCCAAATCTCCTGTAAGGTGGGGGGGGGAAGGACGCACACACAAGAAAGGACATCGAGAGGGACCAGTGAGGACACAAACAACAACAGACAGTAACCGCCAGACAAACATACACACATAATACACCCATACAGAAGCAAACAAGACATCCAAACAATCATATTTGCACACACACACACACACACACACACACACACACACACACACACACACACACACACACACACACTCTCACATACTGTAAAACTCAAAGCTGGTCAGCATGTGAACCTCTAAGAGATCCCTGTGGAGAAAGAAAGACGCAGCTCAGGTCAATAACAATGTGACCACCTCCACACAGGCCGCAGTCCTTCCTTTGGACATTCATGTATTCGTCTTTTAGGGCCAGTTTAGCGTTTATTAGGAAGCGACAGTGTTAGAGGGGGAGATAGAGGGGATGGCAGGGGGCCGCAGGCTTGGACCCTGCGTCCGCCACAGCACACAGCAGGAGCCCCAGTACACGCTCTGCCAGCTCTTAACACTATACATTTGATGCTCATCTTTTCCTTGTCTTTCCTACAGGACATTTTGTTGTGTTCAGGATTTGCACAACTGTTATCCATTCATTCATGGTCTTGTGAATCTAGCTTGCCACGACAAATGGAATGTGACTGCAGATAGGAAGGGGAAGTCAAGAAACAACTGGATCAGCGACAGCAAGAAATTAGGTTTATCGAAAATGGGTTCTTCATTAAGACAAACCTACAACTTCCAAATGACACTGATCTGGGAAATGCCATATTTTGAATGATGTGTTACATACCTTGATGGATCACAAGATCAAATGCAACAAGATCTGGGAGGCCAAGCAACAAAGCTACAGTAAAACTATGTCCAGGCACACTAATGGCTACTTCATGCAACTGTAATACAGGTGTGTATTTCCTTACATTTAATCAAAGATGCAAACACAATCGGAGAGGAATTATAATCAAAAATGAAGAAGAATAGTTCAACTAATATATGTCCACTGAAACAACATGAAACAACAATCTCTAAAAGCTCTCTATAGATGCCTAAGTTTAAATCAGCAGACAACTAACATTTTGCTCAAACAAAGTGAACTGCTATCTTATCATACAGTAGCTGCATCTGTGGGCGGGAGCAGAGCACCACTCTAATGTGTTTAACTGGGGATTCAGATTGCAATGCCACACAGCCTTAACTGACCTCAATCTAAAGTGCACCAGGGAGAGCTTTTAAAGATGAGGCTCTGATTACAACTTCTGGAGCAGCACCAGTGGACAGCCTGGAGAAGATACAGGCTGGGCAAACTGCTTTAATGTTATTACAGGATGGAGGTTTCTGGGACATTTTTTTAAACTTTTTTTTATTTTCTCATCAATCCAGCTGACGGCTTAGAGTAGAACTGATGTAGGTTAGCTTACAGAGTGAACCAAGACCTCTAAACCCATTTCTTGCTGCAGATGTGATGCTTAGGTCAACCCGGGAAGAGATGACTATTTTATGAGACAAATATCAATTCACATTATTTCTTCTGTTGGAGACTGAGAGCTACATATGCTAAACCAACCGGTTCCACAAGTGGAACCACGAGATGGACAGAGAGAGCACATTCAATTTGATTCAGAGGCTTCAAAAAAAGTCAAGCTAATTCGAATAAAAGAAAGATATGAAATCTGAATGTGGTGTTTAGAAAATCGAGGTAAAGGGGAATAAAGGTTTGTCCTGAGACCTGAGTGTGTAACATAAATCTGTTTTTAACACCTTGTTATTTAGTGGGAAAAGGACATTCATAGTTATTTGACCACTCAAAGTACAGTTAACGAATGTGTACTGTTGTTGATATGTGGCTTGCTTGGATGAATGTATGTAGGGAAAGGAAGGTTATCTGAAGACCCTGCACTTGTTCAACCTGTGCACTTCCCCTGCAAAGAGCTGTATGACTTAATGGATCTACACAGGCAGGCCTCCTTCAAGCATTATCTTGCTGAGGATTCAATCTCAAGGAAAACAGCGAACTCTGATGGAAAGGCATAAAAATAGCCTGCATATGCGTCTGAATGCAAAAGAGGAGGCGGTGGTGGAGGGGGGGATTACAAGGGTAAAAAAAGGAAGGGATTTTCAGAACAGAAAAAGCCGCATAGAAGAAGAACGCTGTGTAAAGATAGTGCCACTGTGAATAAATATAGCCCCACTCGTGAGTCTTCTAACTCGGCTGATGTTAGGACATAACATTATCACCAAAAAGATATTTCTTTATGGCATACATAATGTTTTTAACAATTTAAGTTTTTCCTTTTGGCGTTGTCCATTGTTAATCCTTGTATGAATGAGAAGATGTAACCTAGCAAAGTAGTTGCTAATGTTTAGCGATACTATTAAAAACAACTTAATTGGAAATAAATTAAAACATATTGAGAAGAAAAAGCACAACTGAAAAAAAGCACTGGCCTACCCGTCTGGATCAATATGGTGTTAGTATCTTGCTTTTATTTTATTAAATAACAACTTACTTTGTCTCCTGGTACAACTGGCCAATTGTGTCTAATATGGCCTCTGATTTCTTACCTTGCATGATTCTTTTTTTTCTTGCTTCGTTAATATATTTGGAACTACCTTCTAATAAAGTCACATTTTGTGTCTATTCTTGATTTTGTAGCATAATTCTACCTAGCTTTTGGTTCTATTTTGCAATATAGTTCCAGTTGTGTACTTTCATTTTCACAATGCACATCATTATTATTTGACTAAACCGTTGCACTTTGTGGTGATGTTAAACTTATTAACCTCCAGCATCAAGGACTTTTTTTTAATTAATATCCACATTCAAACCAACCAGAGTCATTTCCACACTTACAATTGTATCATATTAAAAGTTGCAAGGTCAGTCGGAGCCAAACCAACAAGCTGTCCTCCTTCCCTCCCTGCTCTTTCTCTAAGCTATCACTATCCATCCGTCAGTGCAGGGGAGTGCTAAAACTACTTACTGTACACAGTTATGCACTGTGATAAAACATTATGGGTGTCTCCAGACAGGCTTTGCCCTCCGTGGCCCTCTAACCAACAGCTGACAACAGTGATTACCCTCTTTGCCTCCCAGCTGCTATCCTGTCGGCAGCACAAACTCCAGAGCCCAGTTCAGCGCCGTGCACACTCTCCATTGAACGAGTCACTTGCCCTAATGTGGCCATGATAGTCCAAACAGCTTGAGGCCTGCATTTATGATCAAAGAGGGAAAGATCATGTAGATCACCTGTAGGTAAGACAGTGGGATGGTTGCATATATTTGGGTACCTTAAAAGCCTTACAAAAAGGGCAAATGTCATTTACTTTGCTCAGATTGCACACAAATAATTCCTTGATTTTGTATGTTAATGAGATTCTTATAAATGAAAATGCACATCCCACTGTTGTATGAAAAGACACACAATACATCCCAATATATAAAAACGCAAGCCATGTATCATGATTTGTATTGTATCGCCTGATTCTTGCCAATAGAGAGCTCCCATTGTTAAAACAGTGTGATGTTGGCATTTTATATATTTAAATGTGGTGCAAAAGCAAATTCCTTGTGTGTTTAAACATACCTGGCAATAAACTGGATCTGATTCGGATTTATTTGTCAATTTAGAGCTATGGATAAACATTTAGATACACAGCTTATCTCAAGGTCATCGATAGTTTCCCCCTCCACCTGTACCTGTCCTCCCATCATACTCCCCCACCTCCCCCAGGCCCATCGATGTCCGTCAAAAATAATTGGAGTACGTGTAAACATGGAGGTACGCCGCCCTTTCTTTCCCTGAAGCTTTATTAATAGTGGCACGCCACAATTGGGCACTGATCCCCGGCGAGGCACAGCGTGGTTTTTCAGGAAGCAGGAAACTCATCATGGCCATAAATTGTGAGCATCAGCAGTCTGCGGTGGCCCTGCCGATCAGCCCGGACTCCGAAGCCCGGCAAAGTGCTGACTCAGGGCAGAGGAGGAGCGCAGGCAGTGGTGGAGTTCACCAGCAGCAGGCTCTCCATCACTTTGACAGCTCAATAAAAACCAGTGTAAACTATTAATTGGATCATTAATTATTGATGCTGTTTTTACTACAATTCGAGAGGCGAGAGCAGAAAAGAGGCCGGGGTGAAACTGTGTGTGTTTTAACCAAACTGGGAAGGTGATACAGTGTCATGTAAAACCCCTGGGAGGCAGGTCTTAAAACGTATATCCTAAAACAAAACACCTGTATCTAACTTCTACTAGTGAGGAGAGAAAACTGTAGTTCTACCGGTTAAGGTATAAAAGGTGACATTATTAAGAATATTCTAACATCCACACTTCAGAACACACACTGAACAAACTGAAATGTTGACTTGAATTAAATGTAAACTGTATCAGGTTAGTTGAAAGCAATAATATAAAGTTGAACCAATTGTTTTTGTATTAAACTTAATATTATTGCTTTCAACTAACCTGATAGTCATGTGAAATCTGTTGACATGATACATTTAATTAGTGTGAACGGTTCAGTTTATTCAGTGCAGACCACAAACCCAACAGACCTATGGAAGTGGATAAACTGCTCACAAAAGCCTTTACGAGGATGTAAGCTGTCCCTACACAATGTCCACCTCTCTGCCGTAGTTTGCCGGCCTCTCCTTTTCTGTTTGTTCGGCACTATTATGAGACGGCATGTCGGGGGAATCAATAAGGAGGAAAACACAGGGAGAGGACCGTCGTGATAAATCAGTCTCCAGTGCTCGCAGGCACGAGCCAGGCTCATTACAGCTGGCACACCCTCTCTCCTCGGGTCTCCGCCTCCCCTTAGTCTCATCTCCTTCTCCATCCATTAAGCCCCCCCACCCCCCCCCCCTCCTGCCTCCCTCCTAAGGGTGTCGGAGATATGAGGGCATGGCATGCACCCTGCTCAGCCTGCTGTTACACACCCATTTGCCGCACAAACTACGCGGACGTGCCACATATGGCCAAATGGTGCTTTCTGCCCTTTTTCTCATCTCTTTCCTCTTGTGGCCAGACATGAAAACAAATGTGGTGTTCTTTGCTTTGCTGTCTGGATGTTTAATGTAATGTCACTCTCTTTATGCGTATCAGAGAGTGCTAGGTTTGCATGTTCACAGAGGGAAATAAAATCCCAATTGGTGTCTTTTTAGGAACATAAAACAACAACACCTGCGCAACTCGGGTCCGCTTTTCCACACTCATGCTGAATTTTTCCATGTGTAAACTCTATGTACAACAAACACTGTCTGATCTTTCTTTATGGCTGTTAGAATGTCACATGCCTGGAGTTTTGGACCTCTCTCTGTTATGTAATTACATTTTGGCAGAGTGCAACAAAGCTACCTCTGGTTTTAAAATAAATGGTTCAGTAGAATTTTCTGAACCAGTTATCAGAGTCCCTGCATGCACCATAAACTAGCAACCTTAATTATGTCATAAATTAATCAAAGTGCCAATTATAACTAAGGGCCAATGATAGCTCCACATTAAGCGCTGTCTGTAAATGTTCTGTGGTTTGCTACACTTATTCAGGTCAATAGTCCAGCTCTTTCCTGTGTGTTTCCCCCTCTCTCCTACACAGCCTGACCTGTGGAGGAGGCAGACAGAAGCAGACAGAAACAACAGAAACTCTGACCCTGCAAACAGCCGACTCTACCTACCTATTTTTGTTCCATCATGGCTACCTGGAAACCTGGAAACTCCCACATCAATAATGTAGAGCTAGTGCTGGGCTGCTTCCCTAAGTAAGGAGAAGAGTCACATAATAGAGCAGACCGACTGAATTCCTCCCCTCTCCTCTACTGTAGATGAAACATTTTGAGTTTGTGGCAGGCGCTTTGGTCTGGTGTAGCAACCTGCTACTGTAGTTTCTTCCTTTCTGTTTTTTTAATCCTCCATTTGTCAACTGCGCCTCATGCTTACATTTTGCTTAGTGTTTTTAACATTTTTAGAGTAAAGGCTTCTGTAATTAAGGGTTTGACAACAAAATCAATTTGTAATTACGACAACTGTCAAGCAGGTGGAGCAGTCAAGAAGCTAACAGCCTAACAATTGCTTTTGATGTTGATCTATGCAAAGTGGCATTTCATTCAGTCACTCTGACTGTTTGCTTGCCAGTGCGTGTTTATACACTTGGACAAGTGCATTTGACGCTCCAAGCAGGTAGCGCATTTCCCATGAGCCATCTGATGTGCATTTCTTTTTTTACTTGTTGTAGTTAGACAGCAAGGCAGGCATGCTGAGCCTTAACCTAGCTAACCGCATGACATTTCTTTATTACCTTTTCACCCATACGACCACATCTGTTTCTAACCTCAATATGAAAAACAGGAGAGTTTTTAAATTAGCACCACTACAAAAGGCAGGAGACCAAGATGTTCTCTTACCTAAACACCCGGTAAAAGTTGTAAAACCGTCGCAACTTTAAATCTAGGGAAAGATCCTGGTTTAGGTAAAAATATATATATATAGCTTGTGACACTAGTTTACGTGAAGTAATGTAGCCTAACCTACGTTTTGCACGTCATGTTACACTATGTTACCTTTAACTTGTTCAATATAACTCAACGATTATATTTACATGGGACAAGAACAGTGTGTAAGGTATTTGTGTGTCCCTATGCCGACTTTGTTGCTCTTTATCGGCCGACACCTGACTTACACCTTGAGACAAAAAGCATAATATGGGTCATAATATGCTGCTTGTACCAACATTCACGGGGTGTTTTTGCAGTGGTGTCAGTGTCAGTTTTTACTCCCATTTCCATTTGACTGAACCATAATCCTACTGCCATTTTGTAATGTGCAACTGTACTGTATCACTAGAATTGTAAGTAAACAGTATGGAAGTCAAGGCTACAGTATACTGAAGGAAAACATACAATCCCCCATCACAGCAGTGATGACATACACTGATCAAATACACTGCTATTATTATTAACTCAGTTCACCCCGTTTCACTTGAAACCCACCCCCAAGCCCTGTCCCTGCTTCCCTCTGTCCCACAGCTCTGTAACACTGTCCGACCATGAGAAACAGCTGTGGTGGTAGGACCTGGCAAAGTGTGCCATAAGATGACAGCATAAAGGAGAAGGCCTTGAGAGCATTAACATTCATTTCAACATACAGCCACACACATAAACAGCCATCCACACTAAAACATATCTGGCTGGCTTGTGAGCGCACAAGCCTCCTCTTCCAAGGCCGGGAGCTGTGTGAGTAAATTCATAGAGAACACACATGAAACGCTATAGTGCTTTGCACATACGTAAGGCTCATTGTTTTCAATTTATATTCAAATGCCAGGATGTCATTTAAGAAGCACTTAAAAAAAAGATATGATCACACATATCAGCAAAAGCTGTTCACGGTTCATTGCAGTTTACCGTAAAGAAAGACCTGTACAAAGTCATCAAAATATAGAGACTGAAGAAAAACAATGTAGAGATAATACAAATGAGTGACTGTTAAAGACCAGTCACTTTAAGGAAGAAGATATATACATATATATTTAAATGTTAATCTAAAAAGTGCTTGCTCTAAAAAGTTGTGTTTTTGTCATAGATGTTGGTGATAGATCCTAAGCTGGGTTTTTTAACTCGAACAAATGATAATGTTGTCTGTTGTTTTCTTTTGGAAAATAATGAGCCCTACACAAACAAACACACATATAGACATAGAAACACAGAGAGCACATATAGATACTGTAGACTGGGGAACTGAAGGTTATATCTGAGTCAACATCTGCAAGAATCAATATCAACAGGAGACAGCAACATCAACTCAATTGAAATCTGTCATTCTTAACAACAACATTATGTCACTCTCATACTGGAAAAGAATGTCTTTATAATTGCATTAAAAAGCAACTGAGAAACGTGCATTTGTATGTATAAGGTACTGCTCAAATATTACAGCTATATACATGTATACAGAGCAGAGAGGAAGTGTTTCTGTGTGGCTCCTACCTTTCTCACTGACTGACTCACTCTCTATCTCCACGTCCTCACAGCTGGTGTACTCTGGTGTGGTGGCCAGCTCCTCCTCCGAGCTGCTGAGCGACACCTGCCGCATCTTTCCTCCCTTTTTGGTTTTGTGGGGCTTGGGGGGCGGCGGGCGCACCGACTCTGACTGGTCCGAGCTGAGAGAGTCGTTCCTCAGCATGCTCTCCATCTTCTCCCTCTTGGTCTTGCGGACGGCCGAACTGGGGTCGAGGTGGTGCTGCTGCCTCCTCATGGAATCCATGTCCCCTCTACGCAGGTCTCCAGATCGGTCCCCCAGCACGGGGCTGCGGTGCGGCGTAGGGGGGCTGTGGTTGGAGGATCTGTGGCCTCCGAGGCTGCCACCCATGGGCCCGGGGGAGGAGCGGTCGACGGAGTAGGAGCGCTGTCCCACCATGGGCGGCCGGCGCTCGGTGAGATGCTGGCGGGACAGCCGGACGGGTCCTGGGTCGTCCTGCTCCGTGTAGGCCAGGGAGACGTCACTATGACGACGCTCGTGCCTCATGCGGCCCACCTCTGCGTGCATTCTCATCTGCTCCTCGTAGGGTTGCGGCTTCACAGGGTAGCGGGCCAGGTTGGGGTCGCTACGGTAACGCGTCTGGAATTCCTCCTGCCGCTGCCGCTGGAGGTCGTACTCGCTGGGTCCATCTAGCTCCTGGTCCAGCGGGTATTCCTGGGAGTGCCAGCGCCCAGGGCCCCGCCGGTCCCGGTAGCCCATTCGTGCCGCATCTGCATCTGGGTACATGTGTGGGCCCCTCGGAGCCCGCCGGGGGTCCCCATCCCCATAGTCAGACGGTGATCTGGGCATGCCGCCGTCCGTCGGGGCATACTGTGAGTGATCGCCCCCCTCCCCTTGGTCGTATTTTTGGTTTGGATCCCTGGATGCAGATGGACTTCGTTTCCTGTAGATCAAAGAGAAGGGAAAACCATTGTGGAATTTAGAAGTTGGTCCGCTTTAAACGCAACGTTTTCTGATTTAGTTAATACAATCTACATATCATGGTTTATAGTCCGAAAAAATGTATGCTTAGCGCCATTTCCGATGAGCATACAGTGTCTGCATGTGTGCTACTGGAAATATAAGGTTTCAGTCAGACGTTAGCCTCACGGTGCTTCATCACACTTGCACTGCACTCTGTAGGCCTCAGTCTCTGTCAAAACCTGATGAAAGCCTGCTCTGTCTCTGTCTCACACACACACACACACACACACACACACACACACACACACACACACACACACACACACACACACACACACACACACACACACACACACAGAAAGAGAGAAATAGAACTAAGCAGAAGGCAGAAGTATGCAGCAGCACTCCCCTTTTCTCACTGCGAGATTCTAAGTAACCTGTGCAAGTAACATGTTTGCTGAGCTGAACCAAATCAAGTGGCATTTAAGCTTCTAATTATATAAGGAAGGATACACAGTCTTCACAAAGACAATGTGGTATCTAATGGGTGACTTTTAATGCAATAGGCAATCTTTCATATTTCATCTGATCACTCAATGATATAGGTACTTTAATCATCATCATTTGTAATGAGGTATAAACAACAGGATGACACAAGATTAACTACACAGGATGCCTGGATATGACCTGTTTGTTTTCCCAAATTAATAGTGTGAGTATGTGTGTGTGTGTGTGTGTGTGTGTGTGTGTGTGTGTGTGTGTGTGTGTGTGTGTGTGTGTGTGTGTGTATGTGTGTGTGCTTAGGCAGAACAATTATGAAGCAGACAGTGTACTGCAAGTATCGCATTGATAAATGATTCAGAGTTTCACAGATTGTGTCTGTGTACACAGTTCAATGGACATGACGAAGAAAGAGAAAAGAAGAAATTAGTTCTGTCTAAATGTATGAACCATAGAGGTGCGCATTTACCTATTTAGCCACCGTTTTCATCAAGGTAAAAATACCTTATGTCACTCAGAACTTAAGAAACACACTTATGAGAAGGGAAGACTAACACCATTAAAATCAAACTACTTTCAAAAATGCTGAAAATGCTCATGTGGCCTGGTCTTAAGAAGATATAACTGAAGAGAAGTATAATCTTAAAACAAGCACAGTTATATTGGACATTAGGTGAAAATAAAAGATGGATATCTTCAAGTATGGTTACAGTCAGGAGCCCCATATTTCTTCAAATTAGCTATCAATCATTTAATCATTGTCCCGGTGTCTGAAAGGAAACCAGCCGGGAGGTGGGTGAAAAGCCTGTGCATTAATGCATTTATTCTTTTGTTGAAAATCAATTATTCATAAGCCACTTTTCTCCTACATTTCTTCCACTTTTCCCCCCAAAATAATAATGACATTTTGGTGAGGAAAAAAAAAGCTCTGTGAAGCATTCCTTTAATTTTGTACGTGACAAGTTTCCATACATTTCAAAGGGCTTCATAAATCACTGCTGCCAGCCTTGCTCAGTGGCCAAGGTACGGACTCCTCACTTGTGATTGGCTAATTTACTGAAGCAGGGAGGGTTGGTCCCTGTCTACTGTATCACAGACCACGTTAGCCCGAGTATAATGAATGTACATCAGCACTCTGCTGAGGCACATGGGGTAAAGAGTATTTTTGTGTTTTCTGTGTTGAATTATATGTCAAACACTGAATAATCTCCCTAAAATAAAGTGCAAGTTTTAAGGAGAGACAGAATGATCTATGAGCACAATGTAAAGTTCATGAACAAATGTTAAAATATGGGATGTTACACAGAGGCGGAATACTATTTATACATAAAAAGAAAGTATTGATGATAATAATTATTAACAACAAGCGATTTTCTGCAAAAAAGGTCTAATAAACGTACTGTATGCTACTTTCAGACGAAGTAAGTGTCCACATAGTAGGGCTGTGCAATTAATCGTATTTTAATCTCGATTACGATTTTGGCTTGCAACGATTACGAAAACAATGTAATCGAAATAAAACGATTATTATTTTTATTAAAAAAAAAAAAAAAAAAAATTTAATTTTTTTTTTTTATTGGTTTTTCAGTTGAATTATACTTAAAGTTCAGGGTAATCAACTGTTAAAAACATACTGTTCACATTTTTTTTTCCAATATATGGATGTTTTCAAAGTAAATGGATAATCGTTTTTAATAATCGTGATATCAATTGTTGACCAAAATAATCGTGGTTATGATTTTTGCCATAATCGCACAGCCCTACCACATAGTGAACATGATGGGACATTTAGATGCTTACCCTTCGATGCACGAGTGACTGGACCCTACACTCTTCCATAAGTGGGTCAAAAAGGACCCGTATTAGAATAGTATGTGTTTTTATGCCATTTTTGTCATTTTGGTTAAGAAAAATCACTTAATTTTTCACTATTTATAATTTTAGACATTTTTTTCTAAAAACGTTTTCTGATAGGATCCATAGAAAATGCATGCGGGTCATTTTTGACCAACTTATGGAAGCTTGGGGTAGTAATACAAAAACTACAATTTCTTAAAATGTAAATTTAAAATTGTTTTTTGAGGAATAGCTGGAATATGAAATGATAATAAAATGTAATTACAAAGATACTTCAAGAAAACCACCTCACCGGGTCAAAAAAGACCCTCTTATGCATCTAAGGGTTAGGAAAAAAAAATGTCATCAGAAGTTGGAGGGGACCAAACCTGAGATAAAAGCAAAGTGATTATTGCACGTACTTTGCCAAGTGTATTAAACTAAGCTAATCTTGCTCCATGTTATTTGTGCGACTAAATGAACAACTGCATGCTAACCAGTTTGCCATAACAACTTTATGAGATGGATGTGGGCTGGGATGTGAAGTAAGAACTGGTGACTGCTGCTGGGACTTTGGTTTGGAGTCTAGTTCATCCCTTTCAGATGCCATTCTTTTTGCAACTTTGATCATTTCCTCCATTCCAAACTAAAATAAACCAGATTCACGTAATAGCAGGTTAATAAAAGTATTTGTATTGCCATTTTACATTTATGGTATAAGAAATGTTTTTCCAAAGAATCTTCTCAATGTCTGAGAGGATAGACACCTGAACGATGTGGAGATGCCAAATGCAATGTACATTACTTGATCAACAGCAACTCAAGATCAATGATGGACAGTATAAGCCACTAACTGATTGCACAATGTCATCTCTTGCAAATGCAGTACAAAGACAAATCTTAGCACTGATGATGCACTGGAAATACAAACACAACAAAAACAAGAGGAATGTCTCATGTGGACTTTAATGAACACATCCTCATTTACAACAAAGGCAGAAAGAGACTACAAGTCAATTTGAAGTATGTGTGATGAAGCCAGCTCACACAAGTGACCTCTCTTTCTGCTTCACATCAAAACAAATGTGTCCTATCACTTTAGTGCACAAACGCTGCTTCGCTAGTGAAACACACGAGGGTCGCTGCATTATTCATGACCTGCTCCTGGACACTAACTGAGCAGCGCTTCATTCACAATTTCAAAGTGAAGCAGAAGCAGAAATGATATGCTGGAGTAGGGGACAGGCGCTGTGACTTGGATGGGAGATAGTGGGGAGTGGGGGAGGGGCAGTGTGATGAGCATGTGAAATCTCTTCTTATAGTGACTTGATGATGATGGAGGAGTGTATGTTCGCATTTCTTCAGTTGTGCATACCTTTATGTGTGTAGCTGTGTGTTTTTCTCAGCACTGGCTGCCTAAGAAATGCTTCACTTTGGCTCTCGGAATGTCCTCAGGGCTTCGGGCTAATGTTTCCTGTGGGATGGTGCCTTGAAATCGTACACCCTCAACCCACAATGCACATAGAACATGCACATAGCAACTACAACAAACATTAACAAAGTGCCCTTTAAAGGGCTCTAACTCATGGTGACACAAGTATCACATTCCCATGCTGCCGTTAAATCTGCATGTCCTTCCTGTCGGACTGTCGATGGCAGCGAGCAAGTAAGCCACAAACCGCACTCCCTATCAGCCTTTGCATCATGATGCTAACGCTGAACCAGCCTTGGCGCAGGACTACATTTTGTACTGTGCATTATTCCCCCATTGCTCCAGCTGCCACTGCTACTGTAATAGCCTCTCTGCAGATACCTCGGAGCTCTGCCGTAACACACTCTGCTGATCTTAGATTTGCATTCCACCCTCAGTGACACAGGCAGAGACAGAGAGGGGAGAGAAGAAATGTGGAAAGGGAAAGAGGGGGGAAATAATTGACCACGTATGTGAATTAGAAGAAGTGTGAAAAAATGAAGCGGGGACGATGCCAGTAAACTATGACCCACAGCTAGACATGCAGCTGGTGTGCGTGGTGCATTCAGCCAAGCTTGACAGGCTCAAGGATGGGACAGCATAGGATTGTGATGCCTGAGATGCTGCACAGAAGCCTGGCTGCTGCAGCAATTGAGTCACGAAGCGCACACAGTGACGTGCTTCCTCCATCAGAGTCCCTTATATAGCAAGATGCGTGCGTGATGTCACTACAGACATGGTGCTGAGTCGCAGCGCAGCGTGCAGAAAATCCACCAGCAGTGAATCATCCTAACAGGCCGACAATAGAGAGGCATGTTCGCTGTCTGCGCGGTGCAGTGTGGGAATACAGGAGAATGCTTTCTGCTGCACCATTCTGAACATTCCCGCCGAGGGTACAACAGCAGCCCCCGTTACTGCTGGTTTCCTGTTCTCAGCCAACGAGAGAGATCCTCTGGTGTGACAGCGTATGAAGCAGGAGGCCTCATTCAGTTGGTGATGAAAATAAGATTCAGTTCAGGGATAGAGACACTGAATTTACAGTATCACTATAGCTGGACTCTTATATATACATGCACTTTTGACTACATTCCAATAACATTTTCATTTAAACTTCCAACTGCACTAATGTCGCTCCTGTGGTGTACTGTACCATCATTGTCTCATAATGTTTA